GAAGAGGGGAGGGAGAAAGAGAAGGATGAGAAGGGGAGGGATGAGGAGGTAAGGAGGGTGGGTGAGGAGGCGAGGGAGAAGGAGAAGGAGGGGAGGAGAGGAAGGTGATGGATGAAGAGGGGAGGGAGAAGGAGAAGGATGAGGAGGGGAGGGATGAGGAGGTAAGAAGAAGGGTGAGTGAGGAGGCGAGGGAGAAGGAGGAGGAGGAGAGGAGGAGGGTGATGGGTGAAGAGGGGAGGGATATATATATATGTAAGCAGCAGCAGCAGCGTGACATTGCGGTGTTTTCTTGCAGGGGTGACGACCCTCACTCCATCGAGATTCCCTACGAATGTCAGGCTCTTACCAGGCTAGAGAACAGCCTTCCCAGTAAGTATACCCGCAAGAAGTTATAGCTAAACACTAAATACAAACACGAAGGGAGTTTTTGTTTGGAACGAATCTATCTGATATCTATCGCTGTTCCCTATCCCTCTCCCTATCCCCTCTCTCTATCTCTCTTTTCTCTCTCTCTATCTCTCTCTTTCTNGCCCCGAATCGGGCAGTACCACCACCGGGCAACCCGCACGAGACCCTGGAGCCCCAAAGCCTAACACCTCACCACACACAGAACCTCCCACCTGCACCGGCAATTGAGAGAGCGGAGAAGAGAGGCGAAGGTCGGGGGGATGATGGGGAGTAAGGAAAAAGACGAGAGATATCAAGGAGACCCGAGGAGACAGTATCATGAGCAAGAGACAAATGCGGAGGGGGAAGAATCGAGAAATGGGGGAGATGATTAAAAGAGAATGAAGATGATACGATGGGATAAGGAAGACACTAGACGGGACGCACCAACAAGAACACGTGGGGAGCGCAGAACTCCGCGGGACACCTACGGGGACTGGCGGAAAGCGCAGACCGAAACGAGTGCACGGGCAGATACATTAGTACGCAAGACAAGCAGAAACTGAAATCCGTACTATATCCGACTAACACGAAGACTCAGATGACATAAGACATATCCCTTTGACGAATACAATATTCTGATCCATAGACTCATCTACTCGACCAATGACTTATAACATATACCAAGACTAAGGACGAAGACAAGACTCAGTCACTCACCCCCAACGGACAAGAGACAGTCGGACCGTCCTGACGTAGAAGAATCCAACGACTCCCGATTTCGTCCCCAGGGCGGGCCAGCGAGCGGGAAGCCCACCGCGGCGGCAGACCATGGTCGCGTCTCGCTCTGACGGTACCCGGGAACCAGGACCACGACGCCACATACACAACAGCTCCGATGGGGTACGCGAGCTCTCCAAGTAGCCGTCCCTGCCGACTCACTCGCTACCGATCCACACAAGATCCACTCTAATATCACATCACGCACTGCGGAAATTGATCAAACAAGATCTAGTGGACGATAACGTAAGATGTCACTATTACCAACACAACGAGTTCCCCGAGCCTTGAGACCCACCGGAAGTCGCAGGCAACTGGCATCATCATAAGGTTAGGAGCGCAGCAGATCCGAGGTGACTCTGCACACCCGGTGCCATTTGCCTGCGCATGCTTCTCTCGAACACCGTCCGGATGAAATGCTTCAAGCAGGAGGGGCAAACACACCGAGGCGCTGGCCACTGACGAGCGAAAGGCGGAAAAGGCCTGATGACAGCAGCGCTAAGCCCGCGACTGAATCACGTTCCAATTTATCAGAGGATAAGGGTCCGGTCGCGAAGCGAGAAAGCGACAGAGAGGAGAGCACAGGACTGTGGGGCGACGTGGTCGACTAGTCCTCCCGCACGGCTGTCGTCCAGAGTAGCCTCCAGATCCCTCATTACTCTCCCCTCTCCCCCGGCATCCTCCCTCTGCTCCCCTCACAGGCACGCCGCAGGAGCCGGCGTCGATTGTCTGCGACCCTCCTGCCGACACACTTGGCCGCGACCCGCTCGTTGACGACTCCGCCTGCACCTCCCTCCCTCCTCCTCTCCTCCTTGACAACTGGCGAGCCTACGCATATGACGTGTAATCTTGTAAGTTGTCGGCGCTGGCAGAGCGTGCGTGTTGGAAAAACGGAACCCCGGCGCCACCGCGGCCAGCTGTCCGCATCAACACGCCAGCGTGTGCCGAAGAAGCTCCGGAACGGCAAGCGACTGCCAGCAAGTGGTCGCGACGGCTCATCAGAAAATACGTCGCGCAGAGGCGACACATGCGTCAGCGTGCCGTGCTCTCTAATCGCAATTTGTACTTGTGGCGTCGTGTGTGTGTGTCGTGCGCCTGCGCGTCGTGTGTTGTTGTAGCGTGTGTGCTGTGTGTCGTCGTGTGCGTAGTGCGTGTGTGTTGTGTGTGATGCTGGTGTGTGCGTGGGTCGCGTGTGTGCTGTGTGTGGTGTGTGTACTAGAGTCGTGTGTCGTGGTGCGTGCGTGTGTTCTGTGTGTGTCTAGTGTGTGTGTCGTGTGTGTTGTCGTCGTCGTGTGCTAATGCTGTGTGTGCGTCGTTGCGTGTGTGTGTGTGTGCTGTGTGTGTGTCGCTGTGTGGTGCTGGTGTCGTGTGTGTGCGTGTGGTGTTTGTGCTGTGGGTGTCGATGTGCCGTGCGTGCGGCGTGCGGGTGTCGGCGTGGTAATTTGTCTTGCTGTCTGTTGTACAAACGTGCGTGTGTGTATTGTCGCTGTGGTATTTGTCGTGTGTGTGCTCGTGTGTGTCGTAGTGGGTTGTGTGTGTGTAGTGTGTGTCGTGTTTGCCTGTGTGTGTGTATGCCTGTGTCGATTGTGTGTTGTCGTGTGTGTGTGTGTGCTATTTGTGTTGTCGTGTGTGTGTGTGTGTGTGCCGTGGTCGTGTATCGTTTGTGTGGGCTGTGCGTCGCTGTGTATGCTGTGCGTGGGGTACATGTGCCGTGTCAGCGTGGTGCTGGCTGGTGCGACTGTGAGTGTGTGCATGCTGTGCTGTGTGTTGTCATCGTGTGCTGCGCGTGTGTGGTGTTGTCGCGTGCGTTGCGTTCGCGCTCGACGGTGTCGCGTTTTGCGTCGTGTGCCTGTGCTGTGTGTAGTGTGTGTGTGTCGTCGCAGTGGAGTGTCGCGTGTCGTTTTTTAGTGTGTCTTCTGAGCGTGCGTGCCGTGCGCGGTGCGTGCGCTGTGCGTGTGCGTGCACTGAGCGCAGTGCGTGACGTGGGCGTGCGTGGCGTGCGTAGCGTGCTGCGTTTTCGTCGTGTTTTGCGTGCGTGCCGTGCGAGTGCGTGGCAGTGCGTGCGTGCGTTTCCGTGCGTTCGTGCCGTTGCTGTGCGGTGTGCGGTTGCAGTGCTTGTAAGCGTGGGTCTGCGTGGCCGTGGGCGTCGCGACTCGCCGTGTGTGCGTGTCATCTCCGTCCCTCTGGCGATGAAGATCAATCGTGTGGAGCCGGGTCACGACTCTAGCAGACGACCCCGTGCTAGCTGGTGATAAACAATCTTACGGAGCTTAGTAATCAGTAATTAGTAATTACAGGATTCAGGTCGAGCGAGGTTAAAGCTCTAATGCCGCGACCCCTACTGGCTCCTGACTGGGCATAAGCGGCCGGCCCATTGGTTGAGGTGTCCGTCTGTGTAGTGCTACGCCGGTGGTCGCATAGTCACAGTCTCCCAAGGTTCTAAGATCTCGGCAGAGGTTTGTCGACAGGCTGGGTGGATTGAGTGCAGTAATCCGATGACTCATCTTGTCCATCTTTAAATCGATAACTCATATATTTTAAGTACCAATATACAGCAATCCGATATACATGAACTGAGGGGCGTTACTTACACATTGAGAATCGATGCAAGATCGGTTGTTGCAACTAATGCTGAGAATTTTAATCAATAGCTGAAATCAATCGTAAGAACTCGATATTGCAATCAATAATATGAATCGATGGCATTGACTCGACATTCCACGAATCAATAAGGCTCAATCGAGTAGATTAGGGTGCTCAATAAGATCGATAATTCTTATCAATATTAGGAGTCGACGTGTGTTTGTTTATGTTCGTGTAGTCGCAGCATCCCTTCGATCCCTGCCACCAGGATGAGGATTGTCGTCGTCATGGTTCCCTACAAGCAAAATGTCTGACAGCAGCAGAGTTGGGATTCACGCTGGCCGCCCTCATACCTGCTAGATACTGTCTTATAGTAGTACAGGGGATGGCTATTGTAGTATAAGCTGTAGATATAAGTAATACCTAGTGATATAGTATATAGTATACTAGTATAGGGTGGAGGTATATAGTACTATAGTATACCTAAGTAATCATGTACTATAGTATATACGCTATATAGTATACGTAGTATATAGTAATCAATAGTAATAATAGTATATGGTATATAGTCGATATCAGTATATAGTATTAGTATATAGTATATAGTATATAGCACACGTGCAATACGTCATTACCTCCTCCTCCTCACTCACGCAGCACACACACACGCTGTGTACAAGATGAGTTAGCGAATCAGTGTTATTGTCGTAGTCACCGTCCTTGTCTTCATTATCAACATCGTCATAATCTTCATCATCATCATCATCATCATCATCATCACCACCATCATCATCATCATCATCATCATCACCACCATCACCACCATTATGATCATCATGATCATCATCATCATCATCATCATCATCATCATCATCATCATCATCATCATCATCATTATCATCATCATCATCATTACCATTATTATCATCATCATCATCATCATCATCATTATCATCATCATCATCATCATCATCACCACCACGACTAATCGCCCCTCTCTCTCTCGCTCTCTCATTGCAGGCATGCAGCTGGGAGGCTTCTGTCTGAGCAACATCGAGTGTCTAGGCTTTGCCGGAGCTCAGGGCTCCGTGTTGAACGGTCCGTGGTACTGCGACACCTACTCACACACCTGCGTCTGTCACCCACTCGTCACCAAGACTCAGTGCTCCACTCGCTACGCACCAGGAAACCTGTCACCGTAAGGAAGACGGAGCAAAGCCCATGAACTCGCGCTGTCTCTTACCCCTCGCTCGCTGCCCCCCTCTCTCTCTCTCGCTCACTACTTCTCTCTCTCTTGCTGCCTCTTCTCTTGTCCCTCTCTTACAGACTCCGTCGCCGTCTCTTCCTATCTCTTACCGACTTCATCGCTTCCTCACTCCCCATCTCCCTCGCTGCCTCTCTTGCTGCCTCTCTTGCTTTCTCTCTTGCTGTCTCCCTCGCTTCCTCTCTTGCTGCTTCCCTCGCTTCCTCTCTCGCTGCCTCTCTCGGTTTCTCTCTCCCCTCCTCCCTCGCTGTCTCGCATTGTTTGCCGCACGCCTGGTAACGAATTCTCCATTTGTTTCGGTTCTGTTGTCATGGCGGCTGCTTTAACAACACTGAAATATTTACGTCAGAGTGTCGCGGCTGACGTCATCGTGTCTTTTTCAGAGCACCATCAGAAATATAAACCTAGAAGGCTGAGCATGCATCAAACCTCCCGATACATGCCAATCTAAAGACTGTCTGTGTAACGCATGGGCGACCATTTCCTATTTTGCCCAACAAGAGAAAATCAAAAACAGTAAATCTACCTCGGCAATGCATAGCATCTCGCCACGTAGCGTGCCAAACATGGGAGAACACTGGCATGATAAACTGTTAACTCTTTACTCCCTGGTCATCATCAACATCATCATCATCATCATCATCATCATCATCATCGTCATCG